TAGTTTTCTCAATTTTCTTTTACACTTTTAAATAAGAACCGGCAAATATTTGTTAAAATTCGAAGTTAATATTCGTTAATATTACAAAGTTTACTGAAAGTCAAAGTTGACTTCGGCTGCAACTTGCCGAATTTGAATTTTGGCTTTAACTTAAATTTGGTAACAATTGTAAAATTTCATTTAACATTTAATTAAATTAAAAAGTTATAAATTTTTTTCAATTAAAAAAGAATAAATATTATAAAATATATTACATACTTTATGTATATCAACCTGTTTCTCTGTGCAGCTGCCTTGTTTGTCAAGGTTTGTGTTTCCGTGTTAAAGAGTTGAAAGGGTTGTAACCACTATAAAAAGAAAAAAAAAAAGAGTAATTTCCTCAACATAAAGTGGCCTTGGAACATAAATTAAGTGAAAAAAATATATATTAGAAATAAAATTGTTTTATAGAGTCAATATTTAAAAAGTATTCTTTAAGCACAAAGTTTATTACTCATTAAATCTTATTTATCGCTTTCAAAAAATCTTAAAAGTAAAAAATCAAGTGAATATTTAACCTAATGTTTTTAAAGAATATTTAACCTAATGTTTTAAATCTTTTTCTTTTATAAAATTGACATTCAAAGTTTTTAAATAAATTTTGTTAATGTTCTTTTGTTTATGTTCAAAAACAGTAGATTCTAAAACATATATAGTCATTATTACTTCATTTTTAGATTTTGTTTTTTCGATGCAATAGTTGTTTTTTGTATGCGTATATGTTTTTTATAAATTAAAAATTACTTCATTTGTATTTTGTCATGTTTTGATTTATGGTTAATTAGCAGCAGAGCCGTCCTGAGGGAAGAGGGCATGGTTGGGTTTCTAGCCCCCTACTAAAATTTACTAGTTGGTATATTGGATACTGGAGTCAGCAAAATTGGGCCTATATAGTTGGCAGTTGGTAAAAGTCAGATAACGAGGATCTTTTATTTTAAAAATAAAAGTTATTCTTAGCATTTGTTGGCAAAAAACAGATATCCCTTCCCCCATCTCTTTGAGACAGCCCTGGTTAGGAGCAAAAAATAATGATTTTGGTTTATAAAAATTAATTATACTGCCTAATTATACTATGGTCCTAAAAAGTCAAATTTTCCGATTCTTACTTTTAAATAAATAGAATTCATATTCACAACATATTTACTTTAATTCTAAGAAAAGAAAAGTTATACAACACAAAGCTTTATATTAGTTTTTTTATATTTAGCCTTACTTTATATAAGCCTTTTATATAAGCCTTTGGCGAAACAAGACCTAGATTTATACTCAGTGAAAAAAGCTAAGATAAAACTTAAACAAAAAATAAATTGTTTTTAAAATTACTAGAAACTTGCCACAAGTTAATAAAGTTAAAAATATCTGAAGAAAAATATAAGAAATGGTTTCTCATCATAAACACAGTCACTTTAAAAAATCTTAAAAAGGATTCTTATTTGTTTTTGTAAAGTTTAAGAAACATTTTTCAAACTTAAAATTCAAATTCATTTCTACAAAAAAGCTTAATAAATTTTTTTTTTTTAAATCTGAAATATCAAAATTCATGCCCTCGTTATGGTTTTTAATATTGAGAAAAAGTAATTGAGAAAATTACGTGAGTAATACCTAGGTAATACCTGGTAAACTTAAAATTATCCATTGTAATGCAATGAAAGCCGTTTAATGAAATCTCTATTTAAAACCCTTAAAATAAAATTGCTAAAGTCAGTGAAATTAAATAATTAAAAACCATATTTTTAATAATTTTATTTTATTATTTTAATTCCATTTTTGTTAGTTGTAATTTGTTGTGTTTTGTTGTTAGTTATGTTTTGTTGTGTATTACTAATATTGTTTGTTGTGCTAAAAATTTAAATATGCTCTTCATTTAAATATTGAATTTTTACAGTAAAAGTAGAAATAAAGTTAGTTTGAAAAAGGAAAAGTGTTATGAAAACTACAAAGATGTTGTGGGTTAATAAACTCATTGTTATTGCACTTGTATAAAGTTTACAAGAATGTTGTTTAATGCTGAAAAGAAAAAAAAAAATATTTCTGTATTTAAATATTTTTATATTTTTGATATTAAGTTGCTGCATCACTTTGCTCTTTGTATAGCTAGCAAATGCAAATTTTGGTTTTAAGGGTAAAAGTACATATATACATATATATATATATATATATATATATATATATATATATATATATATATATATATATATATATATATATATATATATATATATATATATACATATATGCATATATATATGTGTATATATATATATATATATATATATATATATATATATATATATATATATATATATATATATATATATATATAGTCTTGCATGGTAGTCACAAAGTTTTTCCCATAAACTGTTGTTTTAAAGAGCACGTTTTTTTTAAATGATAGACTGCCTGCCCAAACCAAACCCTCAGTCAATGTAGCAGCACTCCCTTGCGAGTCAGGCTATTGCTCAGTCGATGTAGCAGCACTCTGTTGCAAGTCAGGCTATAAGATAGTCAATGTAGCAACACTCCCTTGTAGCAGCAGGCTATAAGAAAGTTGATGTAGCAACATTTACGCATGTTTTAAAAATGTTTTTAATAAGACAAAAACAAAAACACCACTAATCAAAAAAAACTTTCTAGTCATTATTAATGCGGTTTTTTTAAAAAACAATAAAGTTTAATGTACTTCCACATTAATTTAATTGCTTTGACTTATGAATATACACATGAAGTTCATTTAAATATACCTTTAGTACTAAAATTAATTATTACCTACTAAGTTTATAGTCATGTTGCTTTTTAAAAATCCTAAAATGTTTCTTAGTAGTAAAAATTATGTTTTGCATATATTTTGAAATTATATGAGATGTTAGATGTGATTATGTATCTTGTTTATATTTATAGCAAGAGTTTACTTATGTTATTTGGAAGCCAATCTCAGATTTATCTGTTATGATTGATTATAATGATCCTGTTGAATATGGCGTTATTACAACCAAAGAAACAGGTGTGTATTTCCATTTAATATTTTACACACTTGAACACACTTTGTTAAAAATTTGTATGTAAACATATTCTAAAATAATTTTTTTTTGTATTTTTTAATATCAAAAAACTGTACTTTAGGTTTGTAGTTAAGCAATGAATGCAAATTTTTTAGGTTTCAAAAAGAATAAGACAATAGATTATTAAAGTTCATGGTATTTAAAAAATTGTTATTCTAAGTTATTTGCACAATTTATATTCTAAGGTATTTACAAAATTATTGTTCTAAAGTATAAGAAAAATAGTTTGTGACTCAGTCACAGATTGTGCGGATATATCACCACAACAGGAAGGTGGTGATAGTGAACAAAGTGTGTGTGTATATATATATATATATATATATATATATATATATATATATATATATATATATATATATATATATATATATATATATATATATCAGGCCTTGTTTTAAAGGGTTACGCCTGGAGCAATTTTTACGTACGCCTTAAGCGATTTTTATGTACGCGTAGATACTTTTTATCATTTTTTAACTTTTAAATTAGCGGTAACATAAAAGAAGTAATTAATTTTTAAAAAAACCACATTAACTTTTGAATAACGATATGTAAAAATATTTATTACAAAAAAGAAGTTACGTTAAAAATAATTGTAGTAACTTTTCATCGCGATATATCTTACCTTTTTATAACAATTAATTATATGTTAAACTTTTTATTCAAATATTTAGTAACATGAAAAATTGTTCGTCAATCCTTAACTACAAATTTTTTGCAAATGTTTTTAATAAAAATTAGTAATTTTTTAAAGTTTTCAGTAAAAAACTTTTAAAAAATCTATATTCCAAATTTATTCATACAGAATATAAATGTTTTTTGTAATATAGATTTTTTAAGAGTTTTTTACTAAATTTTTATTAAAAAACATTTGCAAAAAATTTGTAATTTTTGACATTTTTTTTAATATCTCTAAAAATGTCTTAATATTTTTGTTATTATGATAACTAAAATATCAAGACATTTTTGTGAGATATTAAAAAAAATGTGCTAATGAATGAACAATATATTTGTATTGTACTAAAAATTACTTCTTTGATTATTACTGTTTGCTTTTCTTGTTAGTTAAAGGTACCTTTACCTTTAAGTTATGCGGGGTAGGGGGCTGGCACAGGAAAAAAAAAAAATTACCTGTTACTCGCAATTTTTGAATGAAGAAAAATATTTAAAAGTTTCACATCTATTTCAAGATTAACAATTATTAGTATTAACTGCAGTTAAAATTTGTATGTAAAACATAAAATAAAATGAAAATATAAAAGTTGTTTGCATCTTTAAATAAGGAGTATTTTTAGCACACATAACAGAATTGACATTCTGTTATATCAGTGAATCCTTGTATACTCATTTGTTATTGTTGTCCACATATTTTTACATACCAATTTGTCTATTGGAAGTTTATATAAAGTTGATCTTTCAGAGAAAAAAGATTTAATTTTTGTGTGAAATAAACAGCAATCTAATAGTGACTGGTTTGCAATCTGTTAAGACTGTTGATAACATTTAAGTTATTATACATTTTAGCAACCTTTGTTTATGAATTTTAGCAACCTTAATTTATGAACTTTAGCAAACTTAATTTATGAATTTTAGCAACCTTAATTTATGGTCAAAAATATACTGATTACAATTAGTAATTTTTAGAAATTGAATTTTTTAATTTATTCTTATACATTTTTTTTTTCATGCTTTAGAATTGGGTGTAAAACCACAAGTTAGTTTGAATCAAATACAGTTTGATGTCAAAGATATTCATTCAATGCGAAGGTCTGATCCTAGATTAGCATGGTCATATGTTGTTTTTATTCTTAAAGATAAAACTACACACCCAGCACTCCATTTTCACAATGGTGGTATAAATGAAATGATTTCATGTTTGCAGAGATTTATATGGCTTATGAGGTAGAGGATTATTATTAAAATTTTATTTTATGATTTTATCAAATTCAGTTCTACTAGTAAAATTTAATTTTATTTAAGAAACCTAATGGTTTTATATAAAAAAGAAGTATCAAATTAAATTCTGATGATAGAATTTAATTTGATATATAAAATTTAATGTGTGAGTATGTTTTGTGTGTGTAATCCTTACATAGTAAGCAATTGAGACTAGCCTTAAAATGACTTTTACTTTCAAATGTTAAAACCATAAAAATATTAATTGCAGATCAATTTGCAATTTTAATCACTTATCCCACTCTGAACCACACTGACTACCAGGTTTCAAGTCTCCTTATGCCCTATATTTTTTTGTTATTAAAAAATAAAAAATTAGTTAAATTAAGTATATTAAGAACCTCCATAGGAATTGTTTAAAATAAATTTTTTACATATTTTGACTTTAGATTAAGAGGTACAATGGGTGAAATTATTGAAGTTCACGTAATTTTTAGAGAAAACAAAATCACATGCTTTAACTTAATTTTACTTATGTATACTTATATTATAAATGCATTAAAAAGTGTTTGAACATAATTCTCCAACAGATAACATAACAAAAAAGTGTAGGTGTAAAAACAATAACAACAAAAATGTAATAAATACATTAAATATAAACAAATATCTAGACTAATCTTTAGAATACATAAATAGTATTATATTTTATCAGCACTTAATCAACAGTATCTTACATGCTATTAAAATACTTTAGTTTTCACACTATTGTGGGTCAACAATTAACTCAAATAATAAACATGTTAATTATTTATTAAATGTTAAAAATTCAACAACACTTAACTTCAATCACTTAGCAAAAAAGTTTTAGTTTTCAAAAAGTTGTAACTATTCCAATTCATGTATGAACTTAGGTACTAGAACTAAATTTTCTATAATTTTGTCTGGATCCTCTTCAAAATATAACTCTTAGATTTATTACATTTTTATATTCGACCATCTTTGATTTTAGTTTTCCAGCTTCTACATATTTACTGTAATGATGATCAAAAGAACCAAGAGTTTGTTTTTCTCAACATTTCAAAAAACTCTCTCATTCACACCACAACAAACTATATTTTACAGCATGACTTGTAATGCCAAACATTGAGTTTGCACACTTTAAATCAAATGCAACAAAATACTTAACATTTTGAAGAATAAGATCAACTAATTTCCTAAGATTTCAATTGTGTTCAGATATTCCTTCTACAATAGCAACAATAAAACAAAGCTTAACTCCAGTATCATCAAGGTCAGTTTGGTTGCTAGTTTTATCATGCGAATTAAAAACATTTATAGTGACCTAGAAAAAAACTTGACTAAAATCCACAGCAACCCTTACAATTGTAAAAAGATGGTCAATATTTCTTTCAGTGATTATATCATGTAAAAATTTATCAATATCCTTTATATAAACCATTGATTTATTTACTATATCACTGACTTAAAAAATTCTTCTTAACATAAAAAATATTCATTCATTTTTCTAATTTTTCAAATATATTTCCCCAATGTTACTTTAAAACCCAAAATTCTTTCTAAAAATAGATCGCATTTTTTTGGTTAACACTGGGATAGTTCTCAACATTTTATTAGCTCCATAATTGTTTAGAAAGACACTTGGTTTAGATTTGCGTGATCACCTTTTTTGTCCATAATCCTAGCTACAGTAGTCAATGGTTTCCTATGAGTAGCAATTGTGAATTTTTTGCCTCTAAAAATATTTTTATTTTGCATTTTAGTTTTTAGGATGCTTGAACATTCTGCACTTGCTGATCCCAATCCGTAAAAGAATAGTCGGTGGATTTAAACCTAGTGAAACTAGATTTAAATCCTTTTATGTGCTTTCATTTGGCACCACTTCACTCTATCACCTTTCTTTTGATTCTATATTCCTTTCCTTTATCTCAAGACTGCACTCTTTTCAATGTTATTTCTGATCAAATTGACCAAGCCCTCACTTCTTATCCATCAGCCAATATTGTTGTTGATGGTGACTTTTATGCTCATCACACTGAATGGCTTGGCTCTAGTGCCAGTGGCTCTGCAGCTTTTGTCCCACAGCTTTTGCCTTTCTCAATCTTTAACTTAAATAGTAACTTTCAAACTCACTTTCTAGACAACCCAAATCATTTGTCTTCTCTACTCAACTTATGTCTTGTTTCTGATCCTAGTCAGTGCTCAGTTTGTCCACATTTACCCTTAGATGCTTCTGATCATGATTTGATCTCTCTAAAACTATTATCTCAATTTTCTTCATGATCAGAATGCCCCAATCAACGTACCTTTTACAACTACCTCAAAACTGACTGGAACTCTTTTCGTGATTACTCTTGGGTAGAAATCTTTCATCTTCCTGCTGACAAATATATTTCTTATTTAACTTCTTGAATTTAGGCTGACGTGGAATCTTTTATTCCTTCTTGATGGTTCCAAGTCAAACCTCACTCTTCTCCATGGTTTTTCTTACATTGTGCTGCTGCAATTTCCTATCAAAACCATTACTTCCATATCTATTAGCAAAACAATTCTCCAGAAAACAGATGTCTGTATACTATTGGTAGAAACCAATTTTAAAAAGTTTTGCCTAATGCCAAAGCCCGCTATTCTCAGGTCATGAAATCTTGTATTTCATCTCAAAAACTAGGCTTTCGTGACTTCTAGAGAATTTTTAACAGTTATAATAATAAGGGTAAATCTGTTATTCTACCTCTTTTGTATGGTTCACATTTTGTCACCTCACCTAAAGACAAAGTTGAATTGTTTGTTAAGAACTTTTCATCAATATCATCTCTTGATTCCACTAGTTAAATTCTACCTGATATAGTCAACAAACAGGTTGATTGATTGCTTGACATTCATATCACTCCAGCTTCTGTATCTTAAGTGATTTTCTCTGTGTAAAATGATTAGACTCTTCTTAGAAGACAGTTTGTGGTCCAAAAAACATATCTGTTATACTCTTGCAGAAGTGTTCTTTAGTGCTGTTGTCTATACTTTCAAAACTATTCAAAAAGTACTTATCAGAAGCTTGTTTTCCAGCCTGCTGGATAGCGGCATCTGTTATCCCTATTTTCAAACAATCTGGAGAGTGATCTGATTCATCTAACTATCGTCCCATTAGTCTTGTTCCTATCATAAGCAAGGTTTTTGAATATTTAATTAACAAGCACTTAATCTATCATCTTGAATCTAATAACTTTCTGATCATCAATATGGATTTCAATCTTCTCGTTCTACAGCTGATTTGCTAACAGTAATAACTGATAGGTTTCATTGTGCATTAGACAGAGGCTAAGACTATCACTCTTCACATTTCTAAAGTTTTTGATAAACTTTGGCATGCTGGTCTTCTCCATAAGCTTTCTTCTTACAGTGTATCAGGTAACATCATTGTTGAATCCTTCCTTTCCAATCATAGTATAAAATTTTTCCTCGATGGAAAGCATTCTTCTTCATATCCTGTAACTTCAGAGGTTCCTCAAGGTTCCATCCATGGCCCTATATTCTTTTTAATTTACATCTTCCAGATATTCTTACATCTATGGTGGTATTATTCGCTAATGATACTGCCATTTATTCTCTTCTTGATATGAAGCCAACACTCACTGATTGCTTGGAGGGGGCATTTGAGCTTGAAAAGGATCTCACTTCTGCTACAGCATGGGGCTCACAGTGGCTGGTGAACTTTAATTCAGATAAAACCCAATTTTTTTCAGCCAATTGTTAATGCAATAATTTAGATCTTCCTATATTTATAAACGGTAATGTACTTGATGAGTCATCTACCCTTAATCTTCTAGGGTTAACTCTTACTTCCAATCTTTATTGGAAACCATATATTGAATTCATTGCAAATTTAACATCTGCTATATTATCCTGCTTGATGCTTTCTTACTCTGGATTCTATTCTTTATCTCTATAAATCTCAAATCCATCCTTGTATGAAATACCGTTGCCAGATCTGGGGCAGATTTTTCAATGATGCTCTTTTTCTTTTAGACAAGATACAAAAATGCGTTGTAAACATAGTTGGACCTGCTCTCGTAGCCAACCTCCAACCATTATCACATCATCATAATGTTGCTTCCCTTTCTCTTTTCTACAATTACTATAATGGGCACTGCTCTAAAGGGTTAGCTCTGCTGCCATCTACTAAAACTCGTTCTTGTGTTACTATTCATTTAATTTAAGTCTCATCCGTTTTCTGTGGCTGTTTCTAAGTGCTCCAAAAACTCTTATTTGTCTAGTTCTTTTCCTCGAACATCAGTTCTCTACTAAAAGTCCAAAAAATTTGCGCCGTAATTTAAAAATCAACTAATAAAAAACGTTAAAGCTATTTGTGCGTTGTATGAAACATTAATATTGATTTTTGTTTAGAGGGAAAGTTTAAGGAATTATTCATTTAAAAATTTAAATGTTTTCAGTTAGTAATTAATTTTTTAATTATAGAAATAATAATAATAAAGATTTTTTAAAATAAGTTGATAGAGTTTTTTTGTTTTGTTTTAAATTAAATATAAAATTTTCAAATTAGTTTTTATATATTTTTAAACTCCTCTGTCTTTAATTTTGTATTATACATATTTGCAAAAGAGTTACGAGCATTTAATTTATAAGGAAATATTGATTAAGATTTAAATAAGATATAAAAGTATTTTATATCTTATTTAACAATTTCTTTTATTTAAAATATTTGATCATGGCTAAATTCCTTTAGACTGTTGCAATAAGCGGTTGTTTTTTAACAATTATATCGTACTTTATTGTGCTTCATTTTTCAGTTTTTTCTGATGTTTTATAAAATGAAATAAAATATTAAAGTTTAAATTATAATCTTTAATAATAATAAAAATAACACTGGCCAACAAAGATTTTGCGGCAAAACATTTGGGGGTCATTTTATAGGTAACTTGTTGCCCTGATTCCGAATATGACCTCCGTTTTCCTAGATTGGCTCTAGTTTT